ATGCAGAGAAAATAATGCAGAGAGACTAATTTGGAGTTTATTCAGTTGGATGTGTATATGGTACTGAGCGGTCAATTAATATGTGCTACATTATAATCAGCTGACTGTAGGTTAGCTAGATTACATGCCACCTGACCAAACACTGTTTTTAGTAAGATAAAGTAAGATTAAAAAACTAGAAAATCTTGAAGGAAGCTGGACTGGGAATTAAAGGTTCATCCAGCATGGAACTTTTACCGAAACAGATTTGATTGACTTGTAAACTGCTTTTAGTGATTTATTTGAACATCTACCCATTTTGCCATTCAAGAAATCAAGGAAGCATCCTGTACAAGGCCTTGTTTATGTTGCAGTTGACTGACTTTTAACTTCTTGGTAGAGCATAGCTTGGGTACACTTTTTTTTGTTTGAGTATCCATTATCATATCACTTTTCCAGTTGGCGCCCATTACCACCTGCCGAAGCTTGTTCAGACAGAATCTGTTTAAGCATTTTAGACACAGCTAACATCAAACTGATACAGAGATACTCAGATAAAAGACAATTCAAATTAGGTCAGAATTTCAAACCTGGATGGGTGGACTGAAAGCGAAGCCAAATGGACACAGGACTTAAAGCAAAAGTCACGACGTTTGGTCTTAGTTGTTATTTATAGAGAGCCCTCAGGATATTTCCTGGTCATTTCTTTTTGGGTCAATCTCTTATATAGCTAGCAATGATGAAAAGCATCAACAAAGGCTTAGTATTCACATCATAACTTTGTCAGACAATGACTCAGTGATTGCAATCCAAGCTGAGAGAGATGTACCTCGACTGAGAACTAAAGATGAAAAGCTTTCTTTGTTGCCCCAACTATATAATCAAGTTTTTCCATCAAAAGAAGCACCTGGAACACATATAGAGTGGTGTGCAGACTGAGGGAAATGGAGGTGGAGTGAAGAAAATGAGCTTAATGTTTCAAACACAATACGGCCCCTGGAAATCCTATTAAATAAGCAATTTCCTTTTGTCTTGTGTGTATATCAGTGGGAACTTTTAAACAGCTTCTTTATAAAGATACTTTTAACCCCAAGAGAGTTTTTTTTTTATGCATTCTGCTATTGGTCACTATCGGACTGGTTATATGGTGCATGCAAAACTGGATACAGGTATTTCATTGTTCAGTCACTCATTCATTAAAATTAGGGGTGTCCCAATACAACTTTTTGACTTCCAATACAATACCGGTATTGTAGCCTTCAATATCGACCAATACCAATATTGATCCGATATTGGCACAGAATTGTGCATGACAAGTTTTTTACCCAGATGCAACATCTTTATCGGACTTGAACAAAAAAATTCTGCCACAAGGCGAACATCACTCCCAAGAGAGTCGCAAATAAATTATTTGCCAAAATATAACTGTAATGTTGGTCTAAAGGTAAGAAAGAAGTCAAATTTGGGCAAAAGGAATGAAACATTGCTGAACACAAGACCACAGAGTCTGCAGGTTACAATTACAATTGGTTTGGCCTACACTGGCAGAGAAAATATATATTAAAATTCAAAAAAATTAAATGGAAAGGAAAAACGCTCTGCTTAATTTGACTTATCAAATAAACAAAGGCCTTTTTTGGAAATTCACAATTGTATTTTTTAATTTCAATTTTTATTTTATTTATTTTTATTTTTTTGGAGGGATAGTAAAAACATTTGTAATAATAACACTTGATGGACGGTAGGAGTTGTTGACTTAGAAACTCGTGGCATGTTTTTAAAATTGTAATCATATTACCAAAAGCATAAGGGCTGTAATGAAATGGCTAATTGGATGCTGCCACCCACTGTGTTAGAACAGGAATTCATTTTATTGAGCAACCCAAAGCAACTGTTATTGGTTGTTTCTACTGCATAAAATTGTCTTAAATTAAATGATGATTGAATATGTCTTTCATCAGCCAATTATATAAGACTGAAATAATCACACATCCTTAACAGCAGCAGAAAACAGTGATCAAAAATGGTACTCAAGGATTATAAACAGCATCTTCTTTCAAAGCACTGCTGCCCTGTAATGAGCTGCCAGTTAACTACAAACTACAAGATCTGCTTGAGCCGAGATATTCAGGCTTCTGAATGATCTCACAAAGAGTTTACTGAATTTTCAGATCATTAGAGACCAAATTCTTAAAACTCTAAAGAAAGAAACATGCTCTCAGTTTTTTTGTGGTGCAACTGTTCATTGTGTAACCCTGGCAGCCAATCCAAACTTTTATTAGTGTCTTATATTTTGAATAATGGGGAGATGTGCATTATGGTTTCTTGTGCATGAAAGAGTTTTCCATAAAAGCATAATTAAAATTTTATGTGAGTTTTTGCAGTTCAACACAAAAGATGCGCATTTGTGTTTTTAATGGAAAAACACTTAAAAACCTACTTCACAGAGGTAAAAGAGGAGTGACTATTAATTACACCACCTCATCAGTTTTATTCAGAGAGACAAAGAGTAGGCTGGGCTCCACTTTAATGGGAGACAAAGCCACTGAGGATTGCACAACATAACAACTGTGTATTAGTGAGTGTGTGTGAATTACAGAGGGTCAACTGGGACTTAAAAGCCTCGTGAAGTCAGTAATAAGCCAGTGTGCGAGGTGCTCTCTCAAGCCTAACTGAACATGTCTGTTTCAATCAACAACAGACAGATTCATCCCGGATATGAAGGTTGTAGGGGCTCCCTTCATTCCCTCTGTACTCTCTCTGTCTGTACTTCAGTCACTCAGACAGACTGCCTTCATAGTCACTGAATAAAAGATGGAGCTTGATTTGAGGCTTTCCATCGACAGAAGAGGCAAATAATGAAAAGACCTTGGTTATACCAGTTGGATATCTCTGCTAATATTTCCACCGGATGACACTTTTTGAAGGCCCGTGAGAATTGGCAAGGTCCGGCATTTTGCCTTTATCACATTATATCCCCTCGTATTGATTCTGTAAAACAACTTGAGCTCCTTGACCTCATTCCACAAACAGACGCTGTGACATTGTGATGGCAAATTAAAATTCAAATCAATCTCCCCTGTGTGAAAAAAAAGAAAAAGAGCAGAGAGAGGGAGCTAGACAGAAAGAGAAAGTGAGAAAAAAAGAGAGAGAGGGAGGGAGAGAATGGGAGACCTTAAATAAAAGGTGTCATCTCCCCCAGTGGAATTTTAATGAAGTGAATTCATAGTCTCTTTCCTCAGAGAGGGGAGCAAATAGCAGCTGCAATTTATCAGCAAACTGGAGTCAAACGTCCCCAGTCAGAGGGGGAGGAGGCCTCTCATCAGGGCCTGCAAAAACTACAAAAAGTATTTATGACAGCGAATTCCACATCTGATAAAATATGAAAACGACAGCAAGCTCAGGTTAAAAGAAATTTCTCGGATCCTAGTGGGGAAACTGGGTCACTGCACCTGTCAAAAGCAATAAAAAAGTTTTATATTAAAGATAAACAATGAAAAGGTTTCTGCAGGCAAATGCTGCCTGAGGTGTCTTCAATGGACAAGACGAACCTCTTTCAAAGGTGCCTTTACTAAACCTTCACTAAAATGCTATTTATCACATGGGTTAGAATATAGAAAAGGCTCACTCTTTAGTGTCAGTGCTGTATAAGGGAACTTTTATTTTCTTAAAAAAGAAAACATTTTAGTAATGATGCCTTTTTAGATTCAGTCACACTTAACAGGACAATGTTTATCATGTTTAGACACATTATAGTCCCTGTTTTAATAAACCAAAACTAAAACATTTTAGTGTGTAGTTAGCGAAAAAAATAAATAAATAAATACATTTTAGTCATTACTCTGAAGCTCATGAGGAGTTTCTGAAATTTATAAAAAAAGACCAATTTTATTTGAATGCCTTGTTATGACAGCCTAAAGCAAACCATCAGATTAATGATCTTTATATATTAAATGTTAATCAGTGAAACCAGTGTGAGGGGTAAGTGCTCTGTTATTACAAAAATAATTAAAATATATAATTAACCCATAAGGCGCTGCAGTGCAGAAGATGACAACAGGCTTTTGTATTTCAGGCACAATAATGTTGTTAAGCTTCATGATATGACGGCAATGCCAAATAAACGGAGAATGTTTTAGTATCTAAAATAAATCAGAAGTATAGCAGAGAGTGAATTTGTCTTTGTGCTTGACACTGCTCATAAGTGTTTGCTCAGTGGTCCATAGTAGAGCTGGACCACCTGGCTCTTCTGCATGTGGTCCATGTGCACTTCAGTATTGCAAGTCCAGAGTTCCAGAAGGGTTACCATTGGCTGATCTGAGTTGCGCTAGGGTGAGCACTGTGAAGGTTGTGCCAGCTTTGTGTTGGCTAAAACGGGACTTATAATGATTGATATAGGTTCTAGTACTTCATAATGAATACTGTGGACTTTTTAACACTGTTTGATCTAGCAAAAAAAAAAAAAGTTTAAAAAGATCATCCAACTAGGAGAGGTTCATAAGGAAAACTTGGCTAATTGCTAGCACATAAAACAATGTCCTTTTCTGCTTTCTGTATCTTCTGTTTGAGGCACAACTGGACTCCATTACCTAAAACATCCATCAGAAAGACTGGAAAACATCAGAGTCTAATTTGTGATCATCCTTAAGTACGAAATAATGACTGCTGTACTGGTTTGACTCACAGGTAGTCAGAAGGAAAGGGACTCTAATGGACTTCTACGTGGAGTTCATGATGTTTATATTGGGTTGCATATGTCATTTATTTGAATGGTGAGACATTGCTGCAGATGTGTGAGCTCCATGGCCCTCATTTATTAAGCTTACATAGTTTGCTTGCAAGTTTGAGTCAGTGAGAGTCAATCTGTGGTTCAGCAAATGTCTGTCTCAAAATAATTGATAAACAAACCTCAAACCTGTCATTATGCACAATCAGCCAGTTTTCATTAACGATTTAGACGTTAATAAAATAATATAATATAAATTTGTTATGTCCTTTGTGGATAAGCCTATTCGATAACTCTGCTCAGAAACACTGCCACAGAGCAGGAGCGCTGTTTCAACATTATGCACACACGTGCCACTGTGGAGCGCTGCGTTTGACTCCTCAAAGGCAGGTAGCTCTGTCTTGGTCCAGCAGTGGGGACGTTGTTGTACACTCCTGAAAGGGTGTGGGACATCATTTGGGCCAGTACAGTTTTGCACAATGGTGCACTGGAGAATGGAGTGCCGTTGGCTGTGCCGGTGCAACGTGAGGACCCGATGCCTGGAAAACAATAACAAGGAGAGACTCCACAAAGGTGCTGTACAGAGGAGACAGGATCTTATCCATGGATTCTGAAATATAAAGTATAAGTTAAGAAAGTGCTCTTGCTATTTAATCAGAGATAAAAATCCAATAGAAATCCATAAAAATGTGCCTCTGGGGCAGCAACACACCGTTTAGTGACGTTAATAATTTTTTTGCTCAGCCTCTGTCAGACTCTCCAGTCTGCTCTACATAACAAAGACGCAACAAATTAAAACTAAATACTTTCAATAACAGGAGCAACATACCCTATGTGATGTCAATAAAAAATATGAGGCATGTATGAGATATTAATTTATCCTCATGAGCAACTTATTGAATAATAATTTATTCAAACTTCAGCCACTGTCCACTATTCTGTTGGCGCTGTTCACCGCCACCATAATCCTGCTCCAGACGGGAGTTTTCTGGACTGCTTTAATTCCAGTTTTGATGCTTCCAAAGAGAAAAGCCTTGTTAGTTTCCACCACAGATGCGAGGATATCCACTTTCAGCTCGGAAAACGTTCTAATATTTCTCCTCTTTCATGTTTGACCTAAGTGGGCGAGGCTTCTGAACCATAAATATTTCAGGGCGTAAACATGTTATTGACGATCGATTTCAGCTGCCACTTTTATCAAGACCCGATCATACGTACGCTGGGATTGGTCAGATATGAACCCTTTCATGAATCTCATGTATGTCCTATTGTACGATGAATCCTGCGCTCAGTTCTACGCAAGATTGATAAATGAGGGCCCATGTGTGTATGTGCCCTGAGGGAGCTGTTAACCTTTCTGCGGTGCTGAAACTGCTGTTTGACTGTAGTACATGATCTTTAGCAGCATTGTGGATTGACTTTTAATGTAGCAGCTTTTTTCACATCCCAAGTTTTGCATTGTGTTTCGATCATGTTTTGATCCCAAGATCTTCATCACTTACTTTTAATGCTGGTGTGACCCTCTCTCTCACCTATACAGTTTGCATAAATATAGTTTGTTTGGATCATTACATCAAGTCATCAAAAACGCCACTGTTCCTTATCTTAGTTGGATAATCTTGCCTCTCCCACAATGCATTGCTGCTGTGCTGGTTCTGCTGATTTAAACACGAATAAAAGTGGCAGTATAAAGGAATGTTTTTTAACACTGAGTCAAGAAACAAAACCCTCCTCTGTGGCCACCAGGTTTATATTTATTTCCTTGGACTTCTACTAAAAAGAAAAGGGCTGTATCACTTATACGATGGTTCCTGACTGTGCCTGCGGTGACGCACCGAAGAGACACTCATCACCGTGCTCTGGCGGTGTGGGAGAGATTTTAATGCAATGGACAGAGTACACTGGCAAATAAGAGAATATGTAGGACATAAATTGCCCTAAAACAAAGCCTAAAGGGATTTTACTTAAAAACATCTAGAGGAGATGTGGATTCTGAATAAAAGGTGCAGTGTTAAAGTGTCTGTCTTAGTAAAACAAATCAATTACTGGTCACATGACCATTTAAACATTAGCTTGCCGTTCTTGGCTTTCAGTTCTGCTTTAGATCTCTTAAAATTGGCCTCTGTTTAGTTCCCTAGTAACCTTTATGAAATCAGAAAACCTGAAGAGAAGGATTTCTTTTTCAGACCACCTATCATGACTGAAAGATCAACCCCCAGAGGAGTCTGCTTGAGGTTGGCTATAGAAGTATAGAAACTCACATACACACCCACTAAAAAGCTAAAAAGCTCCCATGCTGTTAAGAGATTAAGTCTGTAAGATTAAATTGTCATAGAATTGTTAAAAATTAACTAAATTTACTTAATTACTTGTACATTTCTGCAGAAATCACAACTGGCATAATGTCACCCTGAGTTAAAGCTGAATAAAGCCACTTGAAATAGGCCAAAAATTCAAAGTGATGCCTTTTTATTCCGTTGAGAAGAAGACTAGACCATCTGTGACAAGAGTGACAGTTTTTGTTTTCTTAATTCTAACGTATGAAACCGATACAAGAAGGTACATGTCAGTCAAGCAGCAGAACAAACTGACTTTTTAATGTTTTCTACATAAAAGATTTACAATAAGTGATCCTTTTGATTTTTCCTTTGTTTTATCATATAGAGGACAAGGTAAGCAACACTGACAGAAACCTCAAGTTCCTCACAGGAGCTTTATTAGCTAAATAGAGCTGAACCGTGGCTGTCCTTTTTTTTTATTAGTTTTTGTTCGCAAATTACAGCAGACCAAACAGTAAGCCTGCTTTTTTATTTATTTTACATGGAACAGAGAAAACTTTTCCTCCCTATTCCCCCTGCCATCCCCCCACCATATAAATATAAGTATAAATAATATCAATATAAACATGTTGAAATTATAAACATGAGATAAAAAATAAAGCAAAAATAGATAAAAAAATCTAATCAAATGAAAAAATATATATATTTATAAAATAAATAAGTAAATAAATAAAAATAAAATAGTACATATTATAATAAGAACCTGAATATGGTTTACAGTATGCCCGGTGGATGTACTCTTAAAGTAGATATTTGACACTACAGTATGTCTGCCATTGTTGTGCTCCAGCCTTGGGTAACTTTTTTGTGCAAACAGATATGTGAGGAAGCTTTAAGGAAAAAAAAAAAAAAAAACTCCCATCTCTTGATATCAGTGCAGCAGTGTCAAGCTAGCACTGAGACTGCATTCACAGTCAGGGGAAGAGAGGTTACTCTTGTGCTCTGCAGATTGACCTATAACACCTCAGGGTAATCTTACACCAGGAGACACTTGGGTTGTACATATAAAGACGTCCGAAATACTCGGAAATCTATGGGCATACTTAATATCCTTCACAGTTATTTTTACCTTGACCTTTTCTTTGTCTGCAACAACCCTGAGCTAGTCTGAGAAATATAGCCAAGTTCGCGAAAAAAATGGGCCCAGTTTGTGTCCCTATTGTATACACACTCAGGAAAGGGTGTACGAGGAGTATGAATAAAAGGACAAGCAGAGACAGAGAAGCCATGAAAGGAACACAAGGGGAAAGTGAGTTGATGGAGATGAGTAACAGGAAATAGGTCTGGTGTCTTGCGTCAGACACTGAATAGTGCAACTACAAGTAAATCCAGATGAGTTTCCATCCAAACCCAGTAGGTCCCCAGCCCCATGCTGACTCCATCACATCCTCTAACTACATATTGATGTCTTCCTACTGAAAATGGTTATTGACTGGGCCTCAGTGGAGGCTGAATGAGGATAACCTTTGGTAGTTTCAGTTTTTTTTTTTTTTTTCTTTTAAAGCTAATCCATGTCAAGTATGCTGTCTCTGGGATGATTTTGACACACATTTTTCACCTGGTTATCTTGAAAAAGAAGTCCAAGAATACAGCAAAAATTCAGCTGTATATCAACCTGAGAAGCTCTGCCAAGGCAGTGATGTGGCTTTCCCGACCAAAGTGTTTCATAGTAGGTTCTGAAGGCAGTGTTATTCTACCCGGGTAGGGCCAAAACCTGGATCTAAAGCAAAATAGAGGAGGCCTTTTTTCACATTATCGACTCTGACTCAGAGTAAGAAAACTGCAAACCGAGATTATATTTATTAAAGAGAATCGCAAATGTAATATATCGATCTATCCACCTGAGGACTGTGTCAGTCACTGTAAACACCACAAAGCAATGCTTATTTCAAGGCCCAAGCACACTCGGGGTAACATCCACAGTCTCTGTTATGTCTGTGTTGAAGAGATGAATGAATAACTCTTATTTCACCCCTGTTTCATCCCTCACTAACTCCAGAGAAAAACAAATATTGGGCTTTTAAGTTGGAGATGTTTCAGTGTTCCCATGCCAGCCACTAACCGAGTCTGTCATCTTTTTGGTGTTTTGTAGTTTACAGTGGGCTTTACAGAGCTTTTCCACTGAGACGTGCTGCCTGCTATGGCTTGAAAAGGGTGTTGAAGGCCCCAACTGTAAAAAGCTGAGATGTTGTGGAAAATGCTTAGTGACAAAATTTGATGTTTTGCCAACTATTTACAGCTGAAATTCAACTGAGAATAGTGCAAAGAAAACATATCAAAAGTTCAAACTGAGAAATTTGCTGAAAAATAAATTTGGTTTAAAAATGATATTTTAATGCTAGTGAAGTGTCCCAAAAGGTTGAGGCACAGACAACAAAACACAGAACTGTGTCACTACAAAGTGCAAAGATCAAGATCAAGATCTCAACAAACTCAACGAAAGAGACAAAGCTAAAAAAAACAGTACTAGATGACTGTGATCTCTGGGCTCTCAGGTGGACTCTGTAGTGGGAATCACTGCAAAGGCTCAAAATCACAGCAAACTGTCATCACCAGTCAGCTTTTTACCAACATACAGTATAGAAGCCAGCATAAGTATCGGGTGCTAAACATACAAACAGGTTGTAGAGCCTCATGCTATCATCCAACATGGCCTTTTTCAAGAAAGACTGCACATATTTCAGCAAAACAACTGCATACAACATCCTGCATAATAGGGCTGCATGATATATTGTTTGAGTACCATCATCGCAATGTACTTGTGCGCAATAGTCACATGACAGACCCTGAGTTGTGGGAGGGGAATAAACTCATCTAATTTCAAGGGTAGCTGACTGAGATACACTGCATGTGACTGCATGTGCTGTGCAGCGATCCACCAATCACATTGGTTCTTTACTCAGCTGCCAATCAGAGAGGAGGAAACCACGCCCCTGCACATTGAGCGAGTCACTGGCACTGTCAGTGTTGTGCTGAGAATGGCATGTCTGCCGAGAACTACTTTCGAAGCATTACTCATCACTGTTTAGCCCAACAAATAAGAACTGTATGGGTTTTAAATCGTACGTTTATGTGGACCACTGTACTATAAGCAGTGCGTGTTTTGCGAGGTGCATGCAATTCTTGGCACGACACCGGTAACAACGACAACAATTGCGAAATGGGAAATGAACAAGAGAAAAACACTTAAAATGAAGACTTGTTGACAAAAAGAAAAGAAAAGTTAGTTATCTGGAATTATTTTGGTTAAAGGAAGGATGATGTCGGCGAAACACGTGTTATGTGTTCATCTGTTGCCACAATAACATCCCAGCACAATAAAAACAAGCTAAAACATCTCTAAGACAGACAGACAGACGCCACTCTACTAACATTCACAAAAAGAGGTAAGATCAGTGCAGGTTAATTGTCCACAAGATTTCATAGATAAGCATTGCATAAAGTACTATTCAGGTCATCTGGTGAAAATTCCTCTATTTTTTAATATTGTAATATATATCGCATGGTTGAAAAAAAATGGAATGTTAGTTTTTTTTTTTTTTTTCCAATATCGTGCAACCTTACTGCATATGCAGCGGGCCTCTGTAGTAGAAAACTTTGAGTTTTAGACCAACCTGCCTGGAGTCCTTACTTGTCACCCACTGAAAACATGAGGCACATCATAAAACCAAAACACAACAAAGAAGACCTTGAACTGTTGAGCAGCTAAAATCAAAATTAAAAAAAGTTTTTACAAAATTCTGGAAATTGGTGTCCTTGGTTGCCAAGCATCCGTTTGAGGGGCAACAATAGAGTATTACAACGGTAAACATGCTTCTGATAAGACTCCTCTTAACAATGTGGCTAGTTTGAATAAAAAAGAAAAGTTTGAAGTTGTACATGACTAAAAAACAGTCAAAACCTGTTTTTACACACAGTTACTTGTCCCCTCACCATTTTTTTGGAGTTGTAAATTAAGTTAGTTTGCAACAGTCTCAATTTTAAGTGATTCCCTGTATATCCTTCTAAAGCAAACCAGAAAATGGAATGAGAACATCCATTTAGATTTTATATTACCAGAGAAAGTGGTGTGGAGAAGTTTGCTCACCTACCTTCAGTCTGCCAAACAGGAGGAGGACACTGGAGATTTGTACCAGGGGCTGACTGAACAAGCATCGAAATGCAGCTTCTGGTTGTGTCTGAAAAAAGAAGCACAGGAGTTAAGAGTCAGCACCAAGTGTATCAGCAGGGGGGTGAAGGAGAGTTTCTGCCAGTGCTCCATCTCTAAGAGGAACTGGGATTAAAGTAGTGAAACAATAATGACTGGTGGTTACCAGCTGATAACCAGACACGGCCCACAGAAGTGCTCTGTGAGGCCTGTCAGGAGCACAACTGCACTGCTGGAGGTGTGTCAGGCAGGCCATGCAGGGACATCTCAGCAGTGAGCAGTCAGCCTAGAATAAAATGGAGTGGAGTTCTCTTCAGAGACTATTACATATAAATGAAGTGGACAGAATCAGCATAGAATAAAATGTCCTGCTTTGTCTGCAGGGGCTGCCTAAATTGACACAAAGTGAAAGTTTTTCTCTTTTAAAGTTTAAAGTCAAATGCAAATGAACGGTCCGTAGAGCTGTGCATGAATCACAGTTATATCTGTGACTCATTTCAGGAGGAAAACTTACAGGCCATAATCCACCATAGGGGGAATAAAGAGGCCTAAATAATCAAAAAGTCTTTGTTCAAATTTAATATTTCTTTCCACAGAGGTTGCTGAAAAGACAGATGGTTGCTTGGTTTGGCAGTAAAAAGTGAGAAAGTTGAACTTCAGCTTTAGTGGAAAATAACAAAGAAGTCGAGTGGAATGAGGTTTAGTTTTTCCCTCTTTGTGTCCATTATAAAGTAATGGCTAATACTGGCTCAAAGTTGGTGCAAATCTGGACAGATTACACCCTGAATCCCTGTCGTCATAACTGTGAAGCTGAACATATTCACACTAAAGATGGAAGCAGTAAGGAAGTTTAACTCTTTGACTGGAAATGACACAAACACAGATACACGCTTTAGTCTGAACTTTACAGTCTGCATCCAAGACCTCTGCAGGAGTAGCTCACTCATACTATGACCACATAGATTATTAAAGGCAAATCATTTAATATACAAACCAGAAGCACAAAAGTCTAAATTCTATACAAAGAAAACAACAAACCATAAACCTTGTACAAAGCAAACAACAGATATGCATAGATGGTGCTGGAAGACTCATTGGTACTTAATGACACTTGACTGATCCAAAACTGCATATAAAACTTGATTTTTGCATAAAGTTAAAAGTTGACCAGTTGGAACTAAAAACAAGCATCTTGCAAAATTTGAAGGATAACTGGTCTTAAATTTATAACGACTCTCAACAATTATAACAACAACTCTCTCAAACAGAGATCGACAGTGCCGTAATATAACATTAACATTTTACATTATAACATTTTTTTAACTAATATGGTGAGGAGTCAACAACCAACTATTAATTGCCCTTTTTGTCTTACTTTTCATCCTTTAATTTAAAACCTTTAATAACTTTGTGGCTGCCCCCTCCAAAGTTACTATTTCTCATAACTAGACACTCTATATTTTTGAATAAGCTATCTTAATGAATGATGCCATCCTGGCCAACTGTATGAAATGAATTGTTTGCGTATCTGTCTACGATCCTTGCTTACTGATCGCTTGAACTCATCTGAAAGAACTGGCCCCAGTTTAGGCACCTGGAGACAAACAATAGCAAACAGGGATGGGGGATCAATGCATAATTTATGGATTGAATGTTGGCTCTTAATAATTGATATTATCATACATATATTCTTTTAGATCAGCTATTTCAGCAGTTCCCAAACTTTTTTGTGCCATGACCCCCCTAAATCGAACAAACCACTTTTTGAGCATTTGTGGCTGAGCTGCTGCATCAGTTAATAATGAAGTTATTCAGTGAATTTAAACTTAAATAAAATTTAAAACAACATATGAATTTTTTATTTTTTTTTCTAAAAAGAGCATCTTATTTTTGTCACACTGTGTGGCTGCTGTACTATTTTTTCCCCACAAAATCTGAATGTGATCTATAATTACTGTGTGAGAAGGAGCGTGTTAGTTCTTTCAGCAAGCAGTTCTGTATGTGAATTTTGTATGAAGCAGTGAGCGCTTTATATTTGACTGACCCAGCTTCCTGAAAATGATTTACTGAGTAAACAAACTCGTAAAATGACACATTTCTAGGTGTTATTTTAATTTGTTTAGCCTCATACTGTCAGATAACCGTGTTTCCAGTCTTTTCTTTAAATCTCACTGATATGGAATTTGTGGATTTTGTGGGGTGTTGATGTCAGACCAAGATTTCAATCTCTTTTTGTTATTTTTGTTACTGCATGGTCTGCTTTGTAGTTTTTTCTCACAAAAAAATGAATAAAAATGAAGTCACAATGAAGCCTCTAAAAAAAGTCAAGTAGTTTGGTTTTGCTTGTGTCTGACAGTTTCTTCCAAACTTCCACTTTACGATCATTTCAGGTTTTGATAGCAGACCCCATAAAAGGTTTCCTGCCACCTGATAAAACTGGACTTGGGTTGGAAAGTTTACAGATTACAGTCTTTACCTACATGGTGTTTGATGGCTATTTTTTCAGCATATGACCAGGTCTATGAGATCTGCCGGACCAATGCCTTTGCAGAAATTACACACAGATAGAAGTGAGAAAAGTGGGTTTACAATTAAGGTGTCAGTTTTTGAGGTTTACCTCTGCTGGCAGCCTAGAGTCTACTTTAGAGATCTTTCAGTGCAGAAGAAACCCTTCAAAGCTGTAATTTGGGACCATGATTATATAAGGTGAAAGTCTGAACACATACAAATAGGAGGACCTGAATGTAAAGTTTGTACTGAGGATGTTAGTGTGAAAAGGAGAGACCAAAAGTGGTCCATTTTGGGATGTAAAAACATGCCTTCACTTCAAAAGTTATGACTCAGCTGTGAATGAACACACACCCAAGTGTCGAGCACACAGACAGGCCAGCTGCTACGCTGCTCAAGCATCATTTTAAAGTCTCCAAACAAAATCAGGTCCAATGAAAGACACATATTTTTGTTGCAGATTAGCCTCCAAACCATTTCAATCTCTCGTTATATTCCATCAATCTGAACAAACTTCTTTCTAATGTGAAAGTCTTGTTAAGCCTGGGAGGATTTTTCCTTTCCAACACATAAGTTCTTTTTGTTTACACAGAATTCTTCTCTCTGTAAATTTCAGTGTTGCGTCAAAATGGATAAAAAGCAACCAGGTCATTTAAATTCTCTTCTCATTATAGTCTGGGAGACACAGATAGAGAGGTTACATTTACATTTAGATTGTTTTTAGATTGTTTCAGCAGAAGTAAATTAATCAACACTGCAACCCTGCCAACTCACTTAAACAGAATACCTAGAGGAGTGACAAACATGCAGATACAGGTATATATGCATATAGAAGTATTGTATGTACAGAGGATATGAATTCACACTTATTTGACAGAGAAAACGATATTCTATTTTTTCATTCAGATTGAGGGATGCGTCAACATATATCCCAAATCTACTGTATCAGCTTCAAAAAACCAAACCACAGTGTTTCAGTATGTCATATGAATGCATTAATGTTTGAATGTATGAAAGTAAATTAGGTTATTTGGAAGTAAATATATTGAAGTTGCTTTTTTTCTGAGCTTTACTGCAGCATTATTTTGTGAATAATAGATCACATAGTACCCAGACTACTGTAAAACAAAACTAAGTCTTCATTTATCCTCAAGTCGTGTGTTGCTGTAAAAAGTAGCACATACTGTGAATCTATGGTTAGACTGTTGGCTTTAATTCAAGTCTGATCATTGAGCTCAGTTATCATTAAAAATAAAAATGGAAGTAACAGGGTCCAGGTTTGATTTTGGCTCTGTGGCTCTTTCATTTCATTGTCTCCCCATTTACTACTTTAAATACTCTCCTGTCAAAAAAAAAAAAAAAAAAAAAAAAAAAAAAAAATGCAGAAAAGCCCCAAAACAAACTTTAAAAAGAAACATAAAAGTTCAAGAGGGTGCTTTTACAGTATTTTGCTGCTGCAGCTCCTGTCAACCTGTCAGTGTATGACCTGTTTTCACCCCGGTCAGAGCCCTGTTCTGCTCTGCATGAGATGCTAAAGTGAGGCGCCTCTCTGAGTCATCAAAATCATCAAAAACTCCAAAGTGCGTCATTAAGCATTAAATTTAGAGCAGAACAAAAACCCAAATGGATTCTTTGCATCATATGAGCAATTTTACTGAAGCATTTTTTCAATCGGTTTATTTAAAACAGGAAACTCACTTTGATTTATACAAGGATGGTCTGATATCATCAAGGAGCACTTTGATTTTACAAAAAACAAAAAGTTTTGTTTTAAATTTCATTTCTACTTAGATTCTTTAAGCTCTCAACTTTGAAAACGTTTGAAGTTTTCTGTAAGAGTGAAGCACTTTATGCTTTTTTGTTGAAATGTATCAATATTCAAGACTTTTAGGCTACTTGCTGCAATTTGATCTATCTACCAGTTATTGGGTGAAAAATATGGTTACTGCTAAAATTTAAAAATAAAAATAAAAATTTTTAAAAAGCATAAAGAAAATGAAAAAAAAGAGGTCCTTAGTCACACAGGGCTGGCTACGCTCGGAGCCGAGTAAGCTCTTCTTCCAGCAGTCATATATGCTAACAGCCAATGGGTTTAAAGACTGTTTTTCTAAGTGACTAAGATGCCATGATGTATTGTTTGCTGTGATCGTTATGATTACAACAGTTGATTGTTCACTTCGCATCTCACCCGTTGTGTTGTGGTGGCAGTGATAACAATGGATCATAGGTCATTTATAGTCTGATAGCATCCATGGAGGATCAACACTGAGCTTGACTGGCAAAGGTGTCACTGTGCATCAACCTTGGCTCCCATTTACAAATGAATGAGCACTGTACTTAGTGTTGACCTCTGGCTGAACTCACTGTTGTAAGCGTGAGTCGTCTGTCCATGGCCTGCATGCAAAACTTAGTCTGTCTCTGTTATAACCTGTGATAGAGTCTACAGAGGGAATTGGTGTAAATATCCTGTAGCTACAGTGACAAATACAAGGAAGCAGTGTGATTACCTCCAACAGATTCTATAGATGCAGTAGTGTGGATATCATCACAAAACAGCTGCACAAAAGAAAAGCCAGTGGTGTTATTAGTCTTTGGTGGACTACACCAAGGATCTATTCTCACTAGCGTACTCTGTCCTGCTGGTATGACACAACATTAATAATTACTTCCTCTCCGTTCGTACGTGGTTGGTCTGATTATGTCATCCAGAGGAGCCGGGAGCTACATAATCTCTCTGTCCTTGCTCTAGTTCAGCAGTGGAACAATTTAACTAACTGGAGTAGCTCTGGGTGAAACCATTGGCCAAAAGAATGGGTGCTAGATAGGGTTGCAAAGGGGCAGAAAATTACCAGAATTTTTTCATGGGAAGTTCAGCCCTGGAATTTTGGAAATATTCCAAATTGGAAACTTTCCAATTTGGAATTTATGGGAATTACCTGGAAACTGGGGGTCATTTAAACAAACTGTATCATATCCAAACATAAATGTAAACATTTTTGTTTTGGTCATAAGCAGACATCCATGCAAAATAATATAATTTAAAAACATGACACACATCAGATGGCGAACGTGACATTTTTCTTTAGAATAAAATAACAAACAAGCTTGTAAAATCACTAATGCAATGGCATGAACAGAAATATAATTGGCTAAACAACTGGAATGGTCTTTAAAATATTTGACAATTGATGTATAAATTATTGTATGGTTTCAGAAAACTGTCTTGCTGGAGTCAGAAGGAACAGCATCACATTTGAGGTAGCTACCACCACCATAATAAGCTAGTCCCTTCGATGGTCAATGAAATGAAAAAATAGCTTACAGTTAGCACTTATTGTTATTTTTACTATTATAGATCAAATGTATTTACTCCATAATATTATCAGAACTTACTTGACTTAAAATAGTCTGTGGACTCAAATGTCTTGTGCTCTGGGCTCAGAAGTGTGGCCTCTAGGGTTCAAGAAATCATCTGTACATGTGATGGAGGAATGCACAGTGCATGTAGGTGTTGTGGCCTCAATAGCCCTGCAGTAAGCATTGTGCTGTGTGCATGTGATTGAGGAGTGTACCTGCATTAAATCTGGTTGTTTTAGTCGAGATTATGCTGCAACATATTTTCCTCAACTATATTTAAGTTCCCTGTTGAGGGCCAACCTTCAATTTTTGTAAATTTCAGATTTATTCCTGTTAATTCCTGTGGAAAGTTTCCAACTTTGAGAATTCCCCAAATTTGACAACCCTAGCGCAAAATAAATATACTTTTTATGGTAATAATTGTTGGAATTGTGTGCCAGCACGGACTTTCCGCTGCCTCCAAATGACTTGAAAAGTGACTTTGACTTGTGCCTCTCTCGACCACTACCTTCTATACCAGCTCATGGTGGTCCTATTTCTCCCCCTGAACTGCCTCTGTTTCTTTCTATTCAGTGCCACAGCGGGACAGCTTGGTCCCACTTTTATGCCTCAGTGACATTTATGTTGAAGGTATGACTCTACAGGTGCGAAATATTGCACCTCAAGCTTGCAACATGAAAAGGGCTTTTGAGAATGTCCTCCTTGTCTACACTTCACAATGGCTCCCTGTGACGGAGCGGCGTCTTTACTGACTCCGGGGGGAGCGCACAGAGAAGCGCCAAACATTTTCCTCCCCCGTCAGCATTTCTAATTACCCGGTAAACATTGTCACTAGTGTAACCGAGGGTGCACACTCGGAGCGCTATCTTTTAACTTAAATATACATTTACACAGAGAGTCATTCTTCTTCTTACCCGCCCAAGGTGCGTCCATTCACGCCATCATGCCGGCTCATGTTTCTAAGTGAGGAAACAGAGGACATGATTGCCGTGTGGTAAATAGGTAGGTATGGTGGGCAAAAGTGGTCACATGACGCAGGAGAAAATAATCCCTTGCAGTGTTGCCAGATCTCCTGAGAGAAACAAGCAACCAGCTCTATGAAAAAAAAAGCCCAAACTACAAAAGCAACAGCAAAAATTTTCTAAACACGGTTTACATAAAAACTTTGGATAACTGAACATCTTTGAAGAACTTAAATGCCATAATACATTTATGCTCTATTGATTTGAGTAAAAACCTTGTTAAAATGGTAAAAACTTACAGTAAAAGATCTAAAGACTTAAAGGGGTTGACAAAGTTTAAACATGAATAAAATGTGTTTTCCCCAAGATTATGTAGTTAATAATGCACAGTGGGAGGGGCTATGGAGATAACTGACAAACTGACATTTGTATTGCTTTTTAATAGTCCTTGAGTTTTTGCAGAATTCTTGCCTCTCTTTCTTTCTTTCTTTTTTATTTTATTTTTTTTATTTGGACCAGCTGTAAATAAACATCCCTATCCCTGCGTTTGTCTGACTCTGCTGTGTTTTCCACTTTATTGTGATTGTTTGAGCGAGAACCCTGCAATACTCCCACAACACATAGATGTCAAACTACCCACTTGATAGAAGGACCGACTCAACTGAAACTCCTCAACAATGGACTGCAGTATCTTAGAGCATGGGCGTGGCAGGGGAAAAATGGACCTGACTACCCAGGGCCCAAGGAGGGAGAAGGGGCCCATAAAAATCCTTTCGAATGAATCAGACCCTACTATATATTGGGGTCATAATTTATTTCAAATACATTAATAACATCAACTGAGAGAATGAACTATATGTCATAGTCCTCCCAACATACTAGACATTCTGGGGGCCCTCTCTTGGAGGCGCAAAATGGTTTAGTCCGCCCACCAGTGACTGGCGATAAGTGTAACACCAGTGAGTGAGCCCAGACTGAATGACTGGGGGGTTAGACATCATGCTAGCCAAAAAGCATAAATCTTGGTTTTAAAAGAAGAAAGAGAGGGAGAAAAAAAGAAAGACAGCAGCATGAAGGGAGGCAGCTGTTGACTGATTTCTTTCCCAAAGGTGATCCTAGTTTTCTTGTTATGCAAAGGCCAATTAAAGTTGGCCTTTGCAGTCCCTCTTACAGTGCAGACATTCCCTATTTTCAGAGGTGATATCAGTTATCAACCCTCAAATTACACCAGATTGAGCTCCCGAATCCTCTCGTTTAGGATAATCTAGACCTGACATCTGTGAGAGACCACATGGCTCAGCTGGGAACACTGCAGAAGATCAACTTTCTGGACGGCAGACAAAGAGGAGACACAGATTTGAGAAAGGATTATGAGAGGGGTAAACAGAGAATGAATTTGTACAAAACAAAGTCATCACTCCTGTCACAGGTCTTCGATCTTTCAGAGTAGGAGTGTACCTGGATCACAGAGCAGGTATTCTGTCCTTCTACAACGTCTCTGAAACCATGACTCTCCTCCACAGAGTCCAGACCACATTCACTGAGCCGCTACACGTTGGACTGGGGTTAGGCTACAGTTATGGAGACTCTGCTAAGTTTATTCAACTAAAACAGAGTTTTGAGTCCATCAGACCAAAAACATGTAAATAAGATTATTGAACTCTTGAAATGTTCTGGTTTGTAAATGTTTGTGGATCAGTCACACCAGAAACTCTTAGATTAGTTTTTAATTTCAGCTTTTTTATTCTTTTCTAAAGATGCTAATTTGAACGCAGCTTTAAGGACAGTGATTGTGGATAACTGATTGTTTGAATTTCTCATTTCAAAAAATTTACACTAAAGTTTGATAGCAACAACATCAAGATGATAATTTGTTCAAATCCCCTCCAGTTGGTGCAGATGTTGAAGAGACTGAGAATAAAAGTGACGTCAAAATAGCGCTAGAAAGATGAAAAGGCACAACCTTATTTCCTATCCCGAATCCAATCGTCGAAAGTCTTTCCAGTCTGCCCCAAAAACACATCAAATGATCTGTGCTTTCTCTGTGTGCTGAATATTTGTATTCATGTCATCAATGGATATTTCTGTCTGCTTCTGTTGGATCAGTGTGTTTGTTAAGACATCTATAATGACAGTTTTTTCAGATCAACATGTTGTGAGCTTTTCAGTTGCGAGATTCTAAATGTGGGTGAAAAATATAAAAATCATCAAACTGTTACAGAAAGCACCTCACGTGTTTTTGTTTAGGGTTTAGTCTGCCTGACAGTGACTGGTGACAAGTGTAATGTCAGTGAGCCCAGACTGTGACCTGGGGGCTAGACATCATGCTCCCCAAAAAGCATAAATCTGTGTATCAAAAGAAGAAAGGGAAGGAAGAATAAGTAAGATGGCAGAATGAGGGGAGGCAGATGTTCACTGCTTTCTTTCCTTAAGGTGAACCCAGTTTACTTGTTCTGCAAAGTCCAATTAAAGTAAACATAGGAGCGCCAAAAAAAAAAAAAATTCCCCACCATCTCCTCTGCTGTAGTTTCAGCTCTGAGGCTTCCTCTACATGCCACCTGATGCGTTGAGCCATTCTAGATCCAGTGGGATTCCCCAGTCAGAAAAACTAATGCTCCCTCAGAGGTCAACTAGCCAGCGAGAAAGAAAGAGAGAGAGAGAGAGAGAGAGAGAGAAAGAGAGTGTTTATATGTGGTGTATATTTAAATATGTTCGGATATCAGGATAAAACAGTGGAAGTGTTTCTGTGATGAGGATTATTTGAGGTAAATAACTGTTGGTGCATTTAGTGAAGCTGCAGCTTGAATAACCTCTGCTTGTTGAAGTTTGAATGTCTAGAGTTCACAATGCCGCTCCTCCACCTGGATTGTAGAAAAACTGGATTTCCCCTCCCACATCTGATCAGGTGTACAGTCTGAGGATGGGTGTAACCGGCATATACTGAGCTGACTTGAGATCAGAGCCCAGACTAGTTTGACTTCTCAGGAGGAGAAACTCAGTCAGTCACTGTCGACAGTGAGTGTTGAAATGGCGCAGAAAGGGGTTCAGCTGGACCAGGAATCTTTCTCTTGTTCCATCTGTTTGGATCTATTGAAGGATCCGGTGACTGTTACCTGTGGACACAGCTTCTGCATGAGCTGTATTCAATCCCACTGGGATACTGAGGATGAGAAGAGGATCTACAGCTGTCCTCAGTGCAGACGGACCTTTGCACCGAGGCCTGTACTGATGAAAAACACCATGTTAGCAGGTTTAGTGGAAGAACTGAAGAAGAGCGGACTCCAAGCGGCTCCTGATGATCTCTCTGATGCTAGACCTGAAGATGTGGCTTGTGATTTCTGCAGTGGGAGAAAACTGAAAGCTGTCAAGTCCTGTCTGCAATGTCTGGCTTCTTACTGCCAGATTCACCTCCAGCCTCATTTTGAAGTCGCTCCATTAAAGAAACACAAGCTGGTGGAGCCCTCCAAGAAGCTCCAGGAGAACATCTGCTCTAGTCATGATGAGGTGATGAAGATGTTCTGCCGCACTGATCAACAGTCTATCTGTTATCTCTGCTCTGTGGAACAACACAAAGGCCACGACACAGTCTCAGCTGCAGCAGAAAGAGCTGAGAGGCAGAAAGATCTGGAGGAGAGTCGAGAAAACATCCAGCAGAGAATCCAGGACAGAGAGGAAGATGTGAAGCTGCTCCAACAGGAGGTGGAGGCTATCAACGGCTCTGCTGATAAAGCTGTGGAGCACAGCCAGAAGATCTTCAGTCAGCTGATCCGTCTCATGGAGAAATGCGGCTCTGACATGGAGCAGGAGGTCAGATCCCAGCAGGAACGTGAAGTGAGTCGAGTCAAAGAGCTTCAGGGGAAGTTGGAGCAGGAGATCACTGAGCTTAAGAGGAAAGATGCTGATCTGCAGAAGCTCTTTCTCACAGAAGACCACAACCAGTTTCTGTACAGCTACCCCTCACTGTCAGGACCAGGTCAACCTGCAGACTCATCCAGAATCAACATCTGTCCTCTAAGATACTTTGAGGAGGTGACAGCAGCTTTGTCAGAGCTCAGAGAGAAACTCCAGGATCTTCTTACAGAGACATGGACAAACATCTCACAGGCAGTGACTGAAGTGGATGTTTTACTGTTAGAACCACCAGAACCAGAACCAGAACCAAAGACCAGAGCTGGTTTCCTAAGATATTCGCAAAGAATCACACTGGATCCAAACACAGCGAACAGACGGCTGTCATTATCTAAAGGAAACAGAAAAGCAACATCAACCAAACAAAAACAGTCTTATACTGATCACCCAGACAGATTCACTGGTAATTTTCAGGTCCTGAGTAGAGAGAGTCTGACTGGACGTTGTTACTGGGAGGTGGACTGGAGAGGGGACGGGGTTTATGTAGCAGTCGCATACAAGAATATCAGAAGAGCAGGAAACTTAGAGAACTGTGTATTTGGAAACAACGACAAATCTTGGAGATTGTGCTGTTATAAAGACAGGTATGAATTTGTGCACAACAAAGACATCACTCCTATCACAGGTCCTCAGTCCTCAAGAGTAGGAGTGTACCTGGATCACAGAGCAGGTATTCTGTCCTTCTACAGCGTCTCTGAAACCATGACTCTCCTCCACAGAGTTAAGACCACATTCACTGAGCCGCTACATGCTGGACTGTCACCCTGGTATAATGAAGGCTCTGCTGAGTTTATTGAACTGAAATAAAGAACATTTTGAGTCAATCAGACCAACAGCATGTAACTGTGACCATTGAACTCTTAAAATGTTCTGGTTTGTAAATGTTTGTGGATCAGTCACACCAGAAACTATCGGTTTAGTTCTTCATTTCAGCTTTTTTATTCTTTTCTAAAGATGCTAATTTGGACGCAGTTATAAGGACAGTGATTGTGGATAACTTTGATTGTTTGAATTTCACATTTTAAAATTTCTTCAAGATGATCATTTGTTCAAATCACCTTCAGTTGGTGTAAATTTTGAAGGTCTGAGACTTTAGAAAAAAAGTGACATCAAAATAACAGAAAGATGAAAGAGCACAACCTTATTTCCTGGCCCAAATCCAACTGTCAAAAGTCCTTCCAGTCTTCCCCAAAACACATCAAATGATCTGTGCTTTCTCTGTTCGCTGAATATTTGTATTCATGTCATCGATGGATATTTCTGTCTGCTTCTGTTGGATCAGTGTGTTTGTAAAGACATCTATAACTAGACTTTTCTCAGATCAACATGTTGTTGTGAGCTTTTCAATTATGGGTTTTTGATTGTGGATGAAAAACATAAAAGTCATTAAACTGTGTCACTGAAAGCATCTCGCCTGTTTTTCATTATGATTTAGTCTGCCTGACAGCGACCGGCAACAAATGCAATGTCAGTGGGCCCAGACTGTGACCTGGGGGAAGACATCGTGGACCCCAAAATGCATACATCTGAGTATCAAAAGAAGAAAGGGAGGGAAGAAAAAGAAAGACAGCTGAATAAGGGGAAGCAGCTGTTGATTACTTTTTTCCCCAAAGGTGAAACCAGTTTGCTTGTTCTGCAAAAGCCAAGTCTAGTTAACGTAGTCCATTCCAGACTGCTGCTGCTAATGTCTGTATGCTCATGTGTGTAGTGATTTGAATTTATAATAAATGACTGAAGATTATTTATCTTAAATTATGACGTTTATGCACTCATTGAAAGGGGCACCACCCACACTTAATGGTGGGAAGAAAAAAAAAAAAAAAGTTTAATTCAGAAATCAAACATCAAGACAGTTTTAGTTAATCAGTCTCATATCTCAAGCCAAAATTCTAATTTCAGGGACTCCACTTCTGGAAGAACACTAACAGACAAGAACTTAGAAAAATAATGATCTGTTTGTTACAGGATAAATGATGTTACAACATACATGCAAAAAATGATGACAGATAGTGAGGATAAATAATAATAGGTGAATAATAAAAGACTTTGAGTCAGGCTCGGAGCACTAAAGTTAATGATAGTGAGTGAATATGCGCTAACATATTAACCTACACTAATTTTAGTGTCAAGATGAATTTCGATGTGGATTTGGATGAATTTAGGATTATAAAGAAAATTATTATTTCAATCATGAATGTATGAGACAGCATCAGCCCTGTTTGGAGCTCTGGAGGTTTGCATACTTTAGTGAGACCGGTCCTTGGAGAAGATGGAGCAGGTTCCGAAGGTCTGGGCCTACCGACAGTTCGAGAGGTTTAGCTCAGAAGACAACCGAAGTCAGCCGAAAGATGGGCCAGGAGTTGCAGCACTCAGGCCCGAAAAGGAAAACCAGTGTCTTATGTATCTTTTGGATGCTCCTTTGGTCTCACTCAAAATTCTGGCAAAGAGGATGACTCTGGGTGGCGTTCAGAGGTGACTTTGAAATCACGCAGATGACTCAGAAAAAGAGGCTCAGTGGCCAATCAAAACTATTTAAAAATTAACTATGTGAAATTAAAGAAAAATTTATTAAAGGCTTAGTCTTGAATTGCTATGTGCACAAAAGGTTGAAGTTTTGGCGTAAGTCAAGTCCGCCGCACTGATAAGGCCTGCCCAAGCACATTTTGGTATTTTGGTGAGTGGTGCAGTATCACCATCAAGTATCACCCCTCCCTAACTCAGCTCCTCCCAGCAGCATAAGTCATAGAGAGGGAGGAGAGAAGGCATGGAGTAGGTTTAACACAGCCGATACCTGTTTTCACCAATCATATCAGCTCCTCTCCTCACCTTTAAATCCGCCACAGGTGAGGCATATTACAATTTTCGTGCAGTAGTCGAAGAGATCAAGAGATGTCTGAAGACAGCAACGCAACATGATGGCGACAGAAGGCAGCCCCTCAATAAATGTCACTGTAAGCGCTGCAGAGGGCGTCCTGCACACTTTCTCAAATAAGCACTGAGGGATTTGGTGTGTGTAATGTTGGACCCACTGGTAAGACAAACACCCGTTTTCACAAATAAAGACACTCACATTAAGTTGCATATATTTAAACCCCACATGACAAAGGTGGGTTGTGCGCAGAGATCACAACATAAACTCCAATCATGGCATTAAAATCGGAACCGCCTGTGCATAAAGGATGCATCGCGCTCGGTAGCCTGGCTTTCTTTCATAGATGTTGGCATATAAAATGAATTTGGCTCACAAAATTGAATATTATAATATTCGTATGTGGGCCTGACTCCGGAATGAATATTCTTAGAATTTTAAGGATATGAGGACATTAGATAAACGGGTTATTTTGATTGAAAGTTTGTTTTACTTTTTTGTTCAAATTTTCAAAGTAAAATAAAGTACATTTACTTTCAAAGTAAATAACTCATCTGATCACTACAATAAATCATCTGTTCAGCCTTGCCGCTGCAGCATCAGGATGGGGAAAGGACACAGAGACATGTCCGAGTCGAATTGCGTGAGAAAAAGGAGTAAGAGAGAAAGGGGGACAAATTAAATATCTTGTTAACTTCATCATGTGTGACTGTTTACTGGGTGTCTAATTTAATGCGGTTTCAGATGTGTTGATTCTGTCAGGTTGTGTGTCCAAACATGTGCCAAACGCGCTAATCAGATCAGATCAGAATATATCTATAGATCTAAATGTATTTGAGTTTCACACACAGGGTTGTCTTGATGCTACACGTGAAGTCTTAAGCTTAGCTAGTTGCCAACAGGCTGCTTGCTAGTATAAAGACATATCTGTATAAGTATAAAAAAAAATATGGGCCAACTAAAAATTAGTTGTAATTAACCACTTTCAGAAACAAACAGTGGTGCTGGTGCAGCTGCAGCAGCTGGAGGAGCAGTGCGAGAGAGAGAAAAAGAGAGTAGCAGGAGAGAGAGAGAAGGTAGCGAGAAAGAGAGAGACAGAGAGAGAGAGAGCTGCTGACTGTTAGAACTACTGCCTAGATGTGAGTTGTTAACCTTCAGTTTAAAGTAAGTTAGCCTTTTGGTTTAATGCATGTGCTATAGCCTATTGTCTACTAACACAACAAAGCTGAAAGTGAAACTCTGTGCTGAGACTCAAAATACGATCCACCTAGCAAAATTTCTGCTGCATATATCAACATGTAAATAGCCTACCAATACCACTGTAGGCTTAAGTGCATACCTGTAATATATTGTTTGAGCAATAAAGTGGTTTATTGTTTCTGTCTGGTAACAAGCCTTAGCATTGTAGTACAGTGCTGTGCTTCAAAGCTATGGTCAATGCTCAATAAATTCATGATGTTACCAAAGCCAATGGATTAACATGTAAAACAACTGTCATCTCAATGTAAATCAAAAAGAGTTGTGATTATGATTTTTGCCATAGATAGATAGATAGATAGATAGATAGATAGATAGATAGATAGATAGAACAATTAGCTATTAGTCATCAATATAATCTGATCTGATTGTAGCTTAAAACCCTGTTTATGCTTTTTATTTTAAATACCCCCTTTTTTATGCTCATGCGCCTTGTGCACTGGCATGGATAGGGGCCCACTGACACTGACAGTGTACAGGGCCTAGAATTTGGTGCTACGCCTCTGCCTTAGAGGACCGTATTCACTGCTCAAACTGTCTGCTCAGTCTTAATGATGTATTCAGGACTACCCTTGAGTGTCTGGTGGTTGCTCTGTGGCAAGGATACAGAAGGCCAGACAATGGCAGGATATAAAAAAAAGTCTTACCCTTTCAGAATTTAAAATTTGCAGATCACTTCAGTAATAACAGGAAATTCTTGACCTGACACACTCAAAGGTGCACATTAGCTAAAGACAGATCACCCAAGGTGCTTTTGAGTCCATTCTTAATTGAAAGAGGTTATTGCTAATTGTGTTTATGATTTGGGCTTTAACTTAAGTCAGTATGCAGGGACCAAAGTTGTGCCAAAATCCATATATATCTGAATATTTACAACCAGCATGAGGAGCAGAAGGCCTTTGTTTTACAGGGATGCAGTGTAGCCTTTTTGTGGTTTGCTTGAAACTCCTTTTTAGTCTTTTTGTCCTGCAGGTTAAGCAATTGCATAAATGAATAGATGCGAAACCCTTTCATGCTGCATGATGGCACTGTGTACAAAAGACCGCCATTAGAACTAAATTAGCTTTATGTGCACCAATAGTTCTTGACCTCTGTGATGACTTCCCCTCATCCTACTCAGCCCAGTTTGGTTTGCTTGGTCTGTTTTCTCCTCACCTTAAGAGTAAAGCAAGGCACCATGGAGGTCATCAGTGCGAAATCTTTAAAGCTGCCTCCTAAGTCCTCCTCTCTCTAGCTCAGCAAAGTTTGTATTGCTTGTTGGTTTTCAGCATGCAGCATTGTTCACTTTTCCATGCACCCATCCTGATTGCTAATTATGCATTTCTTTATACGAAAAAGCTTATATAATTTCTATTTAATTTTTTGTACAGCTCTGGTGTTCTCCGTGTACTTTGAGCTAGTTCAGTTCTCTTTAAAGCTATTACTGGAATCTGTTGGCGCTGTAAATGACAGCTACATGACCTGCTAGTTAAATAAAGCATGCCTCTGGGATTGTTTGGCACATCACCACCATGCTTGATAAATTTTATATAAATAATGTGTTTTGTTTTTTTTTACTGGTGAGTCCCATCATGGACTGCATGGTGTAACTGTACAAGTCGTCCCCAAGGTGAAGGAGCTGTAACAGAGGGTGTCAGTGCTGCCAACACCTATCAAAACAAGGGGCAGACTGTGCTGTGATGTAGTGTCAGGGAGGCTGAGATCACTCCTTTTCAGTCCTGTAGATGTTTGTCCTAACAAGATCTGTGTTGTTAGAAGTGAGCAAATAAAGAGGGCAGAGTTCACCACAGTGTCACAGGAACACTGAATTGTACAATATGTTTCAGCTGGAGGAGATGGAACAAAAAGAGGAGGGGATATTGACTCTGTATTTCAGGCATTAAACTGTTTGGTTGGGTTTAAACAAACTTGTCTTTTTGCCACAAAGTCATCCTCTATTCACTTCCCCCTACAGAGTGAGGTGGATCTACTGGATAGCAAGCTCAATAGTAAGTATAATAAAAACATTTTGGACACTAAATAATGGCGTCATCACTGCTGCACAGATAAATGTACTGCTGGAGATCAGGGATGAATAACAGAATTATATTTCTGATAACAAGCCTTATACAAATCCTTCATTTAATTCAACAAAAGTAATTCATCTCATACAAGCAAGCTTCGGTCATGAGTTTGTGATCATGAGGACAAACAACCTACTGTAAACAGAGTTTTAAATCCCTTTAAAAAATGTGGCCTATATTACAATTGACCTATCGCTAAGCCCTGCCCTCCCAAGAGGGTCTTGACAAATTCTGGGTACAGAAAGACCGGATTTCTTTGAGAAGCCTTCAAAAGGAACTTTGTTATGCCATGGAGGGATATGTCCAAAATTTAGATCCGGTGGGTGAGAACACAGTTAAATTGGAAGCGAGGGTGTACAAATCTTAATGCAAGCGGGAGAAGCCTCATCTCACAGTCGTCGCGATAGCAGATGACAACATCCAAGACCAACACTGTTCGCATTTGTGTATTAATTTACCTTTAATTATTTAATTTTTTTAAACTAATCTGTAGCGGCACTGAGTGTTACAGTCACTCTGCTAGTGTGCTAACCTGGGCAAACATTAGCGTTCGCTAGTTTTCCAGAGGCAAAAGCTCTGTTACTACATCGCTGATGATGATTAAATAACTGTCGGTAAAATTAGTAGATTTAAAGATATGTTGGCGTAATTACCTTAGAACAAACGTAGATATCCTTGTTGATCATCTGGACGTTAAGTTGGCTGTGTTGGCAACGTAATCCATAGCAGACATTTACTTTGATCTTTCTTTGTTTTTGGAAATGGAATGAAATATACCCCATTACCCATCCTGTTAGGATACCTTGTGTCGGTATTACATCTTACCCCATGCACACCTTTTTTAGCATGTTTCTTTCTATTATATTAAAATTAAGGCCATAAAACAGATGAAAAATCCCAACTTTTAATGTTTCTCTATGAAGCTGAAAGATGTCCGAGTTCCGGTCCTGTTGCGATTGATACTAAACTGGCATTGGTTTATCTGCATCCGAGGGGCGGGGCTTAGCAATGGGTCAATTCACAGTATTTAGCCTCCTTTGTCCGCCATAACAGGTGATAATCTATGTGTAATTTTAGAAAAGAAAAGAAAGATGCAAAGTCTATCCCATTATAATCCCAGTCTGTGAATATTAAAGGGAGCTCAGTTTAGCTCCTAAACCTCCCAAGCCTAATAACATCTGTATTACTGTATATTAGCATGAGGAACCGTAAAACATTGCAGTATTAGATTAAATAATAATTATAATAATAGTGCTATCAAATTGGATGGTAAAGCAAATGATGATGCCAAGCCGTCATAGCTAGTCAAAAATGTTGAAAACTGAGCGATCTTCTGCCTGCAAGTTAAATGAGCAAGATAACAAAAGTAATAAGCACTCAGTCTTTCCCACACATCATTTTGAACCCAAAATGTTTCTTATGTATATATGTGCTCAGTGTCTCAAGACTCAAGAGATTTGAAATTATCCAGCAGATTCTTTGACATAAGAAGTCATATATCACCTTACCTCTCTAGTGACTGCATGTGTCAGCTTGTGTGTTTTTACATGCCCTTGCTTTCATGTGATTTTTTTATCTTTGCATAAGACACATCCAACTCCCCCAGGACTTTAAAGATCTCCTGGCACAACCCAAACGTAAATTATGCATCAATACTCAATGAATTTTTCAGTTCCAGACTCATCATATTTCATCTGGTCTTTTATGTGCCGAAGCCCCCCTTTGGCATCCAGTCGGCAGGCGGAAGTCCTCCCTGTCTGCTGGACAAATTAAAGTGCAAATGTGGCTTTTGAAAAGTCAGGCTGTTGCAGGGTGCCACAGCTGGTTTGGCATTTGTATGCAATAGATAGTATGTAAGGAATATTCTGTCTGTGAAAGAGTTGCTTAAAGCAGTAGAAGAAAAGGTTACAGAGTTGTTAACAAGTTGAGTGCAGACGGGGGCAAGCAGAGCACTGCTCTTACTCAATTTTTAGGAGCTGTTTAGAATATCATTACAAGATTTTTCTCAGCTGTCTTCTATTTAAGATGTGCAGCTACAAAGCAAATACCAGCATAATCACCGTGTCTGCAGGCTGACTGTGAAGGGATAGATGTATTTAGAGTTGGCAAAACAAGTCAAGAGTCATTTAAGTCAAATCCAAAGCCTGCACTCTTAAATGAATTGACTGAATTCACCCCATCAAGTGTTAAAGGCCTAATCATGCCCAGATACCATTGTTGTTGCTCTTTGATGTGCAGCCAATCTTAATGTGATTAAGATAAGTTAACTAAACACTTGGTGATGCTTGAGGAAAGATTGCGTTGAATAAAAAACATCCAACAGTCCCTGAATACAACATCTGGGGTCCGTTTCACGTAGGTGGTTCAACAAACTCTGAGTTAAATCCTTAACTCTGAGTTGATCTACTCTGAGTTAGGAAACTCTGAGTTTCCGGTTTCACAACACCTGATTTGAGACGGTTTTAACAACTCCGAGTAGTTTGACCTGGAGTTAAGCACGTGCACGCCAGACATAAACAGCCAGCATCTGTGGAGCGCAGATTCAATGATCAACCAATGGAAACAGGGAGAAGGAGGGGGCAGCAGCAAGCCAACAGCGAATTACAGCACGTTTTTAAAAGAAAGTGCAATACAGCAGCAGCTGCAAAGGAGAGGGAGAGGGCTTGGGAGGAAATCGCTGCTCGCGTCAATGCGTAACTTTAAATCTAGTCTCGCGCAATCACAATGACAGACTGTTGCAGGGAAACTGCTTGAA